CAACTCTTTAGTATCTTGAATTCTTCCCTGTGCAGAAAATAAGTATGTTTGTGCTACCAAAGTTCACAAAGTATAATAAATCATAATTAATATATATTATGTGCACTTTTTCATATAGTCAATGACCATCATAAGATGATTCCTTATGTTTATTGACTATGAAAAGACATTTAACTGTGTGGAGCATACAAATTGGGCATCACTGAGAAGAATAGTAATTCCAGAATGTTTAATTGTGGTAAGGTGATACCTACATATAGACCAAGAAGAAGCTGGGCAAACAGAACAAGGGGACGTTGTAAGGTTTAAAATCAGGAAATATATGTGTAAGGGTTACATCCTTTCTCCATACATATTCAGTCTGCATACTGAGAAAATCATTTTAGAAGCTGGATTTGAAGAAGAATATGGCATCAGGATTGGAGGAAAACGTCATTAACTTGTGTTGTGCAGATGACACAACTTTTCTTGCAGTAAGCAAAGAAGGCTTGAGGCACTTACTGCAGAAGTTCATAGACTATACCCTTCAATATGAGTTACATCTCAACATCAAGAAAACGAAAATCCTCACCACTGTACCAATAGACAACATCAAGACAGAAGGAGAAAAGATTTACATTGTCATCAATTTCGTTTTACTTGGATTTATGTCATTACTCATGATAACAGTTGGCAAAAAAACAAAATACCTGTTGCATTAGGAAAATCTGCTTTCAAGGTCCTCTCTAAAGTATTAAAGAACAATGATAGTTAAAACACCAAGGTGCATCTGATGTAAGTCATGGAGTTTAAAATTGCTTTCCGTTCATCTAAAAGTTGGACATTGAATAAGGATGACAGAAGAGCAGATGCTTTTGAACTGTGGTTCTTAAGAAGAGTATTGAATATCCCATGGACTACCGATAGAACAAACAAATCTATCTTGGAGGAGGTGCAACCAGGGTACTCCCTAGAGGCAAGAATGAAACTTTGTTTTAAGTCCTTTGAGTCCATCATTAGGAGGGACCAGTCCTTGGAAAAAGACATCATGCTGGGAAAGGGAGAAGATCAGTGAACGAAAACCCTCAACAAGATCGATTGGCACGGCGACTATAACAATGGGCTCAGTCATGACATAGCCCATGAGGATGGTACAGGAGAGGGCCAGTTTCCATAGGTCGCTATGACTTGTAGTTGACTTCAAGGCACCTAACAACAACTTTATGTTCATATCCAAATGACACTGAAAGCTTACGAGAAGCTGTACATAAAATCTACAGGGGAACTGTAATGGCCTAGTGGGTTGAGAGTTGCACTGTCAACCCAGAGGTGAGTTTGAACTCGCTGTCTGATCTTCAGGACAAAGATGCATTGTTTCCCATGTTATTTACAGCTCCTGACTATCCTGGAGTATCAGCTCTCGGTTCCAACTTGAAGACAGATTATTTGGTGGAAGTTTCTCTGCCATGTCCAGGCAGAGACTTAAAACAGATTAAGTCAAAGTACAGAAAGAAGAGTCTGAACCACATAACTATATTTGGTTCCTCTGAACATGTTTAAATTCTTCAAGTATCTATTATCATTTGGAAGCAGGAGTGGCATCCATTTCCTAAACAACATACCTCTGGAAACTCTATAAATTTTGAGAAACGATAGTTATAGAAAGGCTTCAGGTCTTTTGCTCATAAGGTCACTGTGAGCAGTGCTTGACTCAACGGCAATCAAGAACAGCAACTGTTATCATTTAGTAGAAGGCTTTGCATAATTAATAAAAAATTAGAAATTTAAAAATTAAACATTTTTAAATATCATTTTTATCACTGAATATTCCTTACTAGCCCTACTAAAAATTATCCAGAATTTCCAAAATGATTTTCAATTATTTTTTATCCAGAAACATTAGTGTTTATTACCAAATTACAAATAATTAATTTTGTTATGCTTTATATTTTCTCAACAGATTGGATTCTTCAAAAGACCACTAAAGAAGAAAATGGAGAAATGAAGTATTTTACAAGAAAAATGTTTTTTTAATGAACTTTCCTCAGGTTTGCCTCAAATATGTGACAAGAAGTATATAATTAAATACGTAGTCACGTTGCTTTATATAATCCAGCAGGGCATTTGGATTGATGCATGATCAAGCACGATCGACAGATCAAGCATGATCCAAAACAGACACCGTAAAGATACATTTTATACAATGATGAAAGATACTTGTAAATAATTACTCATCTTTGAGTATTTAAGTCCAGTTACAGTGTTTTAAGAGGAAAACTAACCTGCATAAATATATTTATATAGCAAATAACCATTCTAGGCATTTAAAGAAAGTTTTAAAAGATTTTTATGATCATCGAAACATTACATGAAAAACAATATACATTCAGTTTCCATCCCCTCACTTCTTGATGATTATCTGTATTCAACATAACAGCATTTGTAAATACCAAGAAAAAAATTCTCCATAAAAGATCACTCTCCACTACTCAAATGAGAAAAAAGGAAACTCTTATGGTAAATACCACATATAGGATAGAATGAAAACAAAATTAAATCCCAGATAATTCAGTCATCATCTTTTGTATTGAGGTCTTTACTTGGATTTTTTTAAGGTATTTCAGAAATTATGCAATTGGGGTGAAATTCTACCCAGGATAGAAAATCAAGAAAGACTGTTTAAAAAACGAGTGCACTGAATGGATCAATTTAAGCATTTATAGAGCACGCTTAATTTTTATAACTTCAAACTCTTTTATACTAAAAAATTCCATTTAAGCAGTTCTTTATTTTGTGTGGCACAACAGTAATTAATTGTGAAAAGCCACACGGCATGAAAGATAGGCTAAAACTGTTTCTGAATGGATCATGGCTGCATAGAGAGAGGCCACCAAGATGCTAAAAGCATTTTTACTGAGCAGCTTTTGAATGTTAGGGGTCCCAGGATGTAACCCAAAATAGGAGTTTTCTCAACTCTTTGGTACATGGTTCATTTAGATCCCCAAGCTGTGAGAGTATGTTTATTTTTAATTTTTTAAAAGTATTTAATGTTCCAAACACATTTCTTATTTTTATAAAAAGGCAGTATTCCATTTCAGTATTTCAATATATAGGCAAGTCACTGTTTTTTAATGTGGATCATTGATGTGTAAATAGAACTACAAATGTATGTGCTTCTTTGTCCTTGAAGTAATCAATATGGTAATCTACTGTAGCATAAGCACCTGGCTTGGGTGATTTCTTAAGAAAATAACCATGACTGAATGTATAATGGCTGTATGTGTTAACTACTGCTGTAAAAGTTGTGTTTTCTGCTACCTTTGCAATAACTCCATCTGGTCACCCTATTAGCCCTCACAAAACCAGAACTCACAAAGCATCCAGAAAAGCGGGCATACTTTTCTCAAAAAAGCAGCAAATAAAAAGAGAGAAGTAAAAATCATGGACTGAGTTTTTAGAAACTAGCTTCCAAGGCCTTATTTGAGGACTTGGAGTCAGCCTACCTCAAGGCTTTCCGTATCTACATCTAAGCCTCCCTACAGTCAGAATGATGCCTCTGGGGGATCTCACAATCCCCTGCAGTTAGAAGAAAGGCCCAATATTTCTGGACCCCTGTTGGCCTGTTTTTGCTTAGAAGTGCCCACTTTTTGAATGCCCTTCATCCCAGCTCCCTGGAGATTCAGAAATGACTCTATTCATCTTTCCTTGCCCACCAGAACTCAGGGTCTCTCCCAATCAGAGTCACCACATTGCTCAACTCCAGTGCACAGCCTGATCGGCAGTCCCACTCATTCCATTCTCAGCATCTGTTAAAAAGAGACTGCTCGGCAAAGCATCCTCTCAATCAGGAGCATGCATATTGAAAGTAAACACATTGTAAATCCAAAGAGGAAATAGAAAAAATGGCATTTTAGAAGGAGCAAAAAAGAGTTGATGATCAGACACAGTCACCCAGAAGCCTGGCACAGTATTTAATGTAATTAATTATTTAGCAGGATATTTAAATGGTTTTATTCTCATGAACTGTCCAGGGATAACTGATTCATAGCTGATGCTCTAGTGGGTTTTCAGAGGCAGTAAATCATGTGTTAGGAGATTGCCCATCTTTCTCCCCTGGAGCAGCTGATGGATTCAAACTGCATACCTTTGGGTCAGCAAAACAATTTCTTACCTCTAAACCATCTTATCTCTCCATTAACTTTTTTTTTTAGATTTATACATATAGATATGTGTGCATATGAAGACACACATACTGAATATAATGACAAATACTAGAGTTTCAAAAAAGTAGACACAAAAAAGCTACACCAACAATAGAAATTTGATTCATCCTCTTTGCATATAGTGTTTCTTTTCGTTAAGTTTCAAGTTTAGCTCACTTGCTTTACAGCAATGGTAAAAGAACCTAAGTACAAACTCTCAGAATAAAAAGCCAATGTTTGCCTTACATTAGCGTTGTACAAATGTGCTAAGATGTGTTCAGGTGATTGAGAAATTCCTAGACCATCATTTTATATTCAAATATTTATTAAAGAAAATGGGTGATATTTTACTATATACACAGTAAATTGCTGACTAAATTACCTGATAATTTGAGTTTTTCTTTTAATAAATCTTTAGTTCTTTTTTAAAAGTAATTTTGTTTAAATTCTAAACAAGGTATGTAGGCAATCCCTTTAGAGTCTAGAAAACCCTACTAGTGTATGTGTCAAAATTAGTTTGATGTTACCCAGCAACAAGAGCAATATCCACCTCTCCACACATACACACATCTGTACCCTGACCGTGATAACCCTCTACTTACAGCGTGGGATGCCCACAGCATGTGCTGTGTAGAACCAGTGCCCTGCTGCTTGCTGTGTAGTGTGTTTTCATATAGGGGGTGTGAGTGTGTCCTGGTTGAAGACACTGTAATCCGCACCGTCTGAGCTGACCGTCAGTTTTGCACAACACTCAACAAACCAGGATAGGGACAAGTCCAGAGCACAGCTCAAGTGCCAGGGACAATTCATTTATTGTTCAGATACCAAGACTTCCAGCATATCGCTTTGTACAAATGATATTTTATGCACCCTTCTTTTATTTTTAAATCTTCTCATGCCTCTTCCCAAGGAAGATGGTAGAGACTGTTGGAGAAAATTCTGCTAATGACACATACGGTGTGTTTGCTGTGATTTATTTGCACAGGGACTCAGTCCTCCCTTCTTTGCTAATGCACTTATGGATGAGATGATATAATGTAGCAGAAGCAAAGCACAGTGTAATCTCTGAGAAATTTACATACTCTGGTGGCCTAGTGGCAAGAAGCTGTGCTGTTATCCCAAAGGAATGTAGTTCAAATCCACCAACTTCTCCTCCCATGCGATTAACTGCCTCTGCAAACTTTCTGGAGGGTCAGCTATGGGTCAGTTCCAACTCAAGGGTACACAAGAGCACAACTGCATGGAGCTCTATCATGCATCAGTATTGACTCCATGGCAACTAACAACAGCCTAGGACATTATCAGCAAACAGGCTAAAGGGGAAGCTGACACAAGTTAGCCCTTTGGTGGATTTCCATCAGCACCTTAGCATCCTTATAATCACAAAGGAAAATTATCAGTTCAAAATGGAAAGAAAAGAGTTTAATATCTTAGAAGTGGTCCTTTCCTTTCTAAAACAAAGATATGCAGCCTAAGTATAAACAGCAGAATTTTTAAAGCAAATATATTTTCAAAATGAGTTCACTACGTACCCACTTACAATCACTTCACCATCTCTACACTCTGACATGCAAATCCTGAAACCACCACAAAAGCTAAATTCAGCTAGCCCTGCAAGGCAAGGAAATCCAAACCACTGGCTAAGCCAATTGTTGTCAAGTCAGCTTGATTTGTGTGTATCCCAGCAAAACTATGCTCCACAGTTTTCAGGGCTCACTTCTGGGAGTATATCATCAGATCTTTTCAAAAGCCTCTGTGTGGCTCAACATCCGTCCTTTAGGTTAGCTACATAGGGATTCCTGATTTACTAACAAAGGGCTAACTGCCAATTTCCCAACTAGAAACTTTATGATGCAGTATTATTAGTTAGGCCAGTTGGGAGCTCTGGTGGTCTAGTGGGAAGTAAACAATGCTGTTAACGGAAAGGTGAACAGTTTGGATCTACCAGCTGCTCCCCAGATGGGCAATCTTCTCCTGTGTGATTTATAGGCTCTGAAAACCCACTGGAGGGTCAGCTATGAATTGATTCCAGGTTGACAGCAATAAAAGCATTATTAAGTAGAACAAAATGGTGTTTAAAATCAAACATTTTATTCAGCATCTTTGATAATCATCTTAAAATTTAACTTCAGCTGCACTATAGTCTTTAATTGGCAGCTTCTAGAACACTTTAAGATGGTATGTCAACTCTCAGTTTCCCTCTACAACTGGACCCAAGAGATCCAGTTGCTAGCTGATAGAAATGGACCCATTTGCCAGAAAACAGGCTGAATTGACCTCTGAACCCTTTACTGTTCTTATGTCCCAGGGTTAACCTGCCACACCAGACACACATGAGCACTGCTAGTAATAATAGTAATAATTTTTTAAAAATCTTACCATCACAAAAACCATGCAAGAATGAGTGCAACTTCTATATTGGACTCCTTAGCTTCATATTGTTGTTGTTGATTGCCGTCGAGTCGAGCATGACCTGTAGCCACCCTATGAACCAAAAGCCTGAAGACTTTCTATAACCATCGTCATTTATCAAAGTTCATAGAGTTTCCAGAGGCATGCTGTTAAGGAAGTGGAGTCCACTCCTGCTTCTAAGTGTACAGATTTAGAGTCTGGAATAAAGGCAGAATAGTTACAAGTTTGTAGGTCAAAGTTTTAGTACAGTACTTACCTGGAGGGCCGAATTAATTTTTTACAAGGCTGTTCAATCGCTGGATTCAAATAACTTTCAACAACAACAACAACAAAAAAAATTGAGACTCCAAGAAGTATTGGAAAAGATAGACTTCAAGGACAATCATGTAAG